TGTTTGGAAATCAGGGCATTGGGGAGACAATACCACATATTTGCAAAGGCAGAAATTAGGAACCAATTGATCAACAACGGATGTAACTATATCAGATGGAAGTGACCGAAAATCAAACCTGGAAACACAACTGTGTTAACGAGGAGAAAGGAAGAGAGGGAGAGAGAGAAACTGAGCAAGACCAGTTAGTAGACTGAGTTTTGTCTTCTTTTTTCCCATTCAATTTGTTGCTGCTTAATCATTTTATCTCTGGCTAGCGTCTGCTAGCAGCCAAGCAATCACAGGGGCCAGAAGCATCAGATATATTCATGGATGAAAAACTTCAACTGGAAAGCTCTGGTTCTGAAAACTGGTCAAATGCTGCCATTTCTTACTTCTAGTGGCAGAACGCTCCTCGGCCCCCAGCTCCAGACACGGGAGCAGCGACCGGAACGCGCGGTGTTCACAGGCCCAAACCTTCGTTAAGAATTTGCGTGCAGTCTCGTGAAGGGACCAGCCCTCCTTGCCAGAACCCTCTGTGCCAACTACGATTCCAGACCTCGTCCCCAGCACAGCTTAGTTCCTTTGGCAGTTAAGAGCACATTTCTGAGTGTCCGGCCAGGCTCTCAGACATTGTCCCCTGATGGGAGGTTCTAAGGCAGCATCCCCAAGACCCCTCTATGGCCAGAGCAGGCACTGTGAATGGCAGCAACTTTAACGATCTCCCAAAACCAAATCGCGCCAGCCTGGCTCTAGGACCAGCAGAGTTTTGGCAGAAAAGTGTGTGTGCGCTGCAGGGAGCTGGGCAGTCCCACAGAACACGCCTAGCTTGGCTGCAGGGCGCCCCGTGCCGGCCACCTCAGGAATGCAGGGGGCCATCCACACAGGCGGCGTCTTGGCCAGGATGGGCCCTCCCTTCAAAAAGAAGCAAACGTCCCGTCTGCTTCTTTAGATTTTTACGGAGCTGGATTCCACCTTCATTCACGGAATCTGCAAACTGGTACCTTGTCGGAAAATGCTATTTGGACTGAAACAACATGTTGCAGAATGAGACGCTTCCCTGCGCCTTTGTTTCCTCATCTATGAAATGGGGAGAATAAGAGGTTCTCACCTCACAGGGCTGTTGTGAGGACTGAATGAGCTATTTTATGAAATGCACGCAGACACTGAGGGGCGGCTGCTGCTTCTCGCCAGTGTTACTCTGACTACTGTTTGATCACAAGCTCTCCAGACCTCCAGAGCAGGGTTTCCCAACTGTTATTCATTCACGAGCACCGTTCTAAACTTCTTGCTGTTTTCACCGTCGTTTATTTAGTGTTTCTCCTTAAGCTGAATCACTTTCTACTCAAATTTATTTTAAAAGCAAACTGTACATCACCATGGTAAATGGAAAAACTGAATTCTGCACCATAACTCGAAAGCAAATGTAAAAATAAATAAATGAAAACAAAACAATGTAATTAATTAAGCTCAGTCTGTTGTCTGCCAAAGGCGCTGATCCGGAGCCTGTCGTTGCTAAAAAGAAAGATTAGAAGGTGCTAAAGGCACAGGGACGCACACTGAGACGTCCCCCTCCAGGTGATCCCGAGGAATTAAAGAGCTGAGAAGCGAGGGGCCTCCTCCCTGCTGACTGTCCAGCCTCCGTCTTTGTAACATCTTACAAGCACACACAAAACTGTCTTGCTTTCCACCACTCTGGGAGACGCTGTCTACAGCATCGCTACGCAACAGAACCTTCTGCAGTGGCAGAAATGGTCTGTATTTGCACTCTCCAACATGGCAGCCACCAGCCACGTGTGCCCAGGAAGCACTTAAGATGTGACTAGTGTGCCTGAGGGACTGAATTTTTTATTTTATTCCATTTTAATTAACTGAAATTCAAACTGCCACACGTGGCTACGGGCTGTCATATTGGACAGCACAGATTTACTGAGAAAACTACACGTGCTGATCTTTTCATCTTGGCTCGTCGAATGAAATCCTGTTCATTTTGAGGTTACGCCCTTGCTTCCTTCGAGAGAGATCTTACAAAACCTGATGTGCCCAGGGATGTTACAGGGGACCTTGCACCTCACTATTGCTTAACCTCTAGCCCTGTGGAATTTCTTTTAGAGCTCCCTTTGAGAAACTGACATAGTTTCTTCTCCTTAGTTATGGCATTATCCAAAACAGCCATGTTTCCCTTTTCACACTGGCTTCAAGGAAGCTCACAGGAAATTATAAATCAGTGAAAGCAAGCATGTAGCATCTCATGAGAGACAAAGATGATTTTCCACGGGTTCCTGAATGAGAATTCTCTTAGTTCACATTTTCTCCGACTCCAATATTTTATTTCTTACTTCTATTTCGTCATTCTTTTCTATGAGTTTCTCTAGAAATTATCTTTTGTGAAATTATATAGAATGGATTTTTTCACTAGGAAAAATAATGACCGATGCTAGCAGTATTTTAAGTATTCTATCCAATATCATTTATGAGGAGAGGAGGGAACGAGAGGGGAGGGAAAAAGAAAGGAAAAAAGAAAAAAAAAGAAAAAAGAAAAAGAAAAAACACTGTAACAAAGGCTTTCTAAAATGCTTCCAAACACAGGCTCAGATTTTGCTCTTGAGGTACCAACCAGAAGCATCTTTAGCTGAAAGGAGAAAAACAATTGCACTCAAGAGGTGCTGCTTCACACATGCCAATGTCGAGAAAGATTTCAGAGAGCCCAAGCTGAGGGCTGCAGGTGCTGCGCTGGGCGATGTGGGAGCCGCCTGCAGCCCCACGAAATCTGAGCCATGTCCTCCGTGCACGGTCCATACCAAACCCAGGAAAACGGAGCACGAGGAGAGAGTGGCTCGAACGCCTATGTGCCCACCGTGGAAACAGTCTCCCAGGCAACGGCATATTTGTTGTGTCCATCTCATTTCATAACTGACTTTCAGAAGCTAAAACCTGCCAAGTCGCTTCCTGGCGTGGGGGGTGGGGGTGGGGGTCAAAAATAAAAGGTCAAGGGAACCTCTCAAGTGATATCGCATTTTAATTTCACTCTAGAATAAAGCTGTCTGCTTCACTTTTTCGTCCTCCAGGCTCCACCTCCCGGCTTTCTGATGACCACAAAGCGGAACTGGAAGGACACTTAACTAAGAGGGTGTTTTTGGTTTGGAGGTTTTTTTTGAGTGGGGGTGGGATAAAAAGAGAAAGAAAGATAGGAGGATATTTGGAACGCTGTCATATCTGATTCCCTCTGTAAGCCGGAGCTGCGGGCATCATGCACAGGCAGCTTCTCTCATACTTTATCAAAGCGCTACTGCTGCTCAGCTGAACGAGTAAACGGAACCGCCTCTCTGCCGCGCGCTCCCTGGCCACACTCACCCGTTCCTGAGATTTTAGGAAAGATGCACACGGCACGCTTGTCCCCGTTCCTGTGGGACACAGGCCCGCCACCAGGCCTGCCACCGAAGACCAAACATGGCGATCGCTTTGGAAGACGAGGAAAGAAAGCTCTATATCTACGGGGTGCCATAGAATTCTAATGCACGCGACAGCTTTGCAAGGTGAGCATTATCGTCATTCCCATTTTACAGATGAGGAATCTAAGACTACCTAAGGCCACAAAGTTGTAACCAGGGCTTCTATTTTCAAGTTCAGCGTCATTTTTTTTTTTTTCACCACCCCAGTGTCTGGGTAAAACATCTTAATAGCTGAGAAGACTTCTTCAACGGGCCAATTCCCTGCTAAGAAAAATGGCAACAAAACTCAAGGCTTTTCACAGAGCTCATGGGGAATAAGAATAAAACCTTATGAAAGTTTCTGTGATACAAGAAGACAGTAGAATTGGAAGCAGCCAAGAGTCAGAGCTGTAATCAAAACAGTCCCAGGATAGGGAACACCGACGCTGGAAATTAGGATCCAAGGTAAGAAAAGGAGAAAAAGAAGACAAGAGGGTAGTAGGCAGGGCTGGAAGAGGCATCAGAAAATCAGAGAGAAGATGGAAAACTGGGGTCCCAGGTGATGGAGCAGAATCACCTCCAAAGCAAAGGTCCCACGGTCCCAGACACTGGATCCCCAACCAGGGGGTGGCCAGAGGAAGGTAGAAAAACTGTCCGCAGTTTTTCTTGTCAACTACTCGTTGCCCCCTTTGGAAAAGAGTAGCCTTGTTTTCATTTGGGGAGCCACCTCTCCCGTCTCTTGGACACGTGGTCAGATAAGGTCAACTCCAATCCTAGTGCGCAGAGTGGGGGGAGGAGGGTGTTATGTGACCCGAACCTGGCCAATCACAGAAGTCCATCACCCAACCCTGAGGTTTAGCAACGGGCTCATGATCCAAGATAGACCCAGGAGAGACGTCCAGGACTTGGCTGAAACCACCCTGACAGGCCCAGGGTCAGGCACTGCTGGGAGCCATCTCATCAACCCACAGAGAGCGCCAGCCTGAAAGGGATGCCTCGGCAGAGGAAACAGGGAATGGCAGAAGGTTCCTGAACACAGGTCCAATCGCGCCTGAGGCCAGACCTATGCCTAGACTTTTCAGTTGCAAACACCGGTCGACCAACATCACTTCTGCTCAAGGAGTCTGAGCTGAGGGGTCACGGCCACAGCGAGAGGCCTGGCACGCACATGGAAGCTCCGCCCTACTCCCTCCTGTCTGCCTGAGGAAAGACGGCTTCCTGGGGGTGGGGGGGCGGGTGGTCCAATCGCGCCTGAGGCCAGACCTATGCCTAGACTTTTCAGTTGCAAACACCGGTCGACCAACATCACTTCTGCTCAAGGAGTCTGAGCTGAGGGGTCACGGCCACAGCGAGAGGCCTGGCACGCACATGGAAGCTCCGCCCTACTCCCTCCTGCCTGCCTGAGGAAAGAGGGCTTCCTGGGGGTGGGGGGGGGCGGGTGCAGGGCTGAGCCGAGGATGAGCCGCGGAATGCTGGCCTCCTGCGTACAGCACCAGCTCTCCATCGCCGAGAGGCAAAAGCACCAGAGCACAATGGACGTGTGCTGGTTCCACCCCAGTAGTGATGTCTAACTGAGAACCAGGCACTTACCTGATACACGTGGAATGCATTTGTGGCTTTGCCCCGGAGAAACACGGATGGGATCCAGACGTTGATCAGCGCCCGGTTCGATCTGACCAAAGGAAAGATCAAAAGTAGTCAATTCAATTTAGGGAAAAAAAGAAGGAAAGTATCTTCTCTTCTAAGAGGCATCATGCACAAACAATCTATGACAATATCTATTATACTTAATAGTAAGCTAAAGGACCAGTTTAAGTCTCATTACTTTGTCCCCAAGTTTATTTTAAAAGGACTTAGGTTAAAATACACACAACATATACACACACACACATATATATATATATTTTTTTTAATTTATATATGCAGTTTGTATTCTGGAATGAGATAGAGCTGCAACTTCAGTTGTGAGTGACCATGGCTCATAATTTATCTGAACCTCAGTTTCCTCATCTGAAGAAGGGGCTGACAACCAGAAGCCCCTGATGAGACTGGAGGGTCCTACGCGGTAACGCCCACTGGGTCTCTGGAGCACCCAGAGGAGTCGTACTGCCTCCTCATTGTACCCACTTTAGACCCTGGCCCCCATTTTAAGAACAGACTCCATCAAAGAGCTCAGGAGACCAACAGCCATGGCTCCGCAAGCAACAGCTATTGGGTGGGGGGGTAGGGGTGGTGACAGGGGATACCAGGAAGCCAGGTGCAAATACCTCTCTTTTGACTTCTCTACAAACAATGTGTATGGCTACAAACAATGTGTATGGTAAAAATCATTTACCAAGTACCTAACAACTTATGGCTCCATGCTTTTATCTATATTATCTCAGTTAATCTTCGTAGGCTATTTAAGGAATTTTCAAGGGTTATTTTGGTTACATGACAGTTTTGCCTCCTGCGATGACTTTAAACTTCACTTGTGAGTCCCTGGGTATGCACGCCCACCACCTCCACTGTAATTCCGACAGGCTGGGTCCGGACCACGAGGAGCTGATAAGTTAGCTGTTCTGAAGCTTCAAGATCAATCACAACAGCATTCGAAACAGCACAGTGCAGTTGTGGAAGGGCTGGGAGGTTCCAGGCCTTGCCTCTGCCTGGAGCTGTTCCAGGGCTAAATGCTTTTTCCTAAGCTCCCCTTCTCTCTAAAGAGCAGCTCACGAAAATCCGCCAGCCTCCTGTGCTTGAAACTCGGCATGAGCCATTGATGATGGAAGATTCCATGACTCAGGAGTCTCACAACCTTTACAGAAAAGAGCATTTTGTTTTCACAAAGACATGATCCTGTCTCGAAGCAGCATTTCTCCTCAGCTCCAAGCCGAGATGCTCACCTCCTTAACAGGGCAAAACAAGCCCAACGACCACCTCTCCAGGGCTCCAAGTACAAACTGCAATTCCAAGCCACCAAATTGGTTTGTCTATCTAACGATATTCTTATAAATGTCTCCAGAGTGTTCTAAGGCCCAGAGTGTTCTCCTTTTGTTTCCGTCAGTGGGGGGAGGGGCGCAGAAGTATATCGAACACTCCGGTTTACATTAACCTTCCTGGATTAACCAGGGCTGGGCAATCTCCCATAGTTACAGTGAGGTCACCCCAGATGGGTTAGGAGTTCCTCCTTTTCAGAGCATCTACCACACGGTATTACAATTGGTTGTTTACACGGCCATCGCCCTCCTAGATACCAGTTCACCTGCTCATTCTTTTGTTTGTTCACTCATGAGAACCTACTATGTGCCAGATACTATTCCAGGTACTGGAGATAGAGCAATGAAGAAAGCAGATATAGTCCCTGCCCTCATGGATTGTGCAGTTTAACATGGGAGAGAGACAAAGCCCCATAAAAATTAGTAGTCCACTGTGGTCAAAGAAGATACTTTGTTCGACTTCCATCTTTTCAGATTTACTGAGATTTGTTTTGTGGCCTAACATATGACCTATCCTAGAGAATGGTCTCTGTGCGCTTGAGAAGAATGTGTATTCTGTTGTTATTTGGCAGAGTGTTCTATATGTATCCATTAGATCTAACTCTTTCCTTACTGATCATCTTCTCTAGTTGTTCTTTCCATCATTGAAAGTGGGGTACTAAAGTCTCCAACTATTATTGTAGAACTATCTATTTTTTCCCTTCATTTCTGTCAATGTTTACATCATATGTTTTGGAGCTCTGTTGTTAGGTACATATATGTTTATAATTGTTATATGATTTTATTAAATAAATTATTTAATTGCCACTGTCACAGGTGCCACCAAAGAATACTGGCTCTAACAAGTGAATGCCAGGGGGCTTCTTTGACGAAGCAATGTTTGGACTTTTAGGAATGCTGAGACTCAGCCGAGCTGGGGAGGGGAGTCTGAAGCTGGGGAAGGTACTCTGGCAGGGGGTTAACATCTGTGAAGGGCACGGAGTCTAGGTCAAGACTGCCTGGGTCCAAATCCTGGCTCAAACCTGTCACCTGTAGATGACATCCACATCAGAGGGCGGTTGCAGGGACTGAGTAAGTTAGCACAATGCCTGGCACAGAGAAAATGCCGTGTTTGTGTGAGTTAAGGAACAAAGTAACGATCCTGAGTGGGGAAGGCCAAGTGAGCTCGAGCAGTCAAGTCAGCCTGGGTGACTAGTGTGCAGGGTGGAGACGGGAGGTTAGCAAGGGCCTTCTCTGTAAGCTACACAGAGGAGTTGGGTCTCCATCTTAAGAGAGGGAAATAGCATCTCCTTCCAGCTTTAGTAGAGATGAGGAAACCAGTGGGTGAGGCTGCGAATCTCCATGAAAGAGATGATGCGACTGGACCAGGCAGAGGCTGCTTGAGGGCAGGGGCTGTGGCGTACTCACCTCCTCCATGAGGGACCTGGCATGACACCACGTGCACTACGTGCCTGATAAATTCTTTAATAATGAGTCCCTTCTGGTCGCAGCTGACTTGTCCCTGGCCAGCTTTCACGTCTCTTCCTAGCGTGTCCCCACCTGGCCCTCGACCAGGCTGACATTCCATTATCCTCCTCGGGCTGCACTCCCCTGACTCTCTGGCCCATGGGAGGCAAACTCACTTTTGATTTCCATCCTTCACTTCTTAACCACGTCAGCCTCCTCATCCTACCAACCCAAGTGCCACCTCCAGTTCCACTGCAGCCACCCGACCACTGAGGGCCTCTTAATGCCCTCCGTGTTTTTATGATCTCACTCCTATAGCCACCACACGCCTGCAAGGCTGGTATCATGACTTTTGTCTTGTGAGAAGAAACTCAGGCCCAGGGAGGTTAAGTGACTTGCCCAAGGTCACACCTATGTGAGTCCTGTAGCTGAGACTTCAACATAGGCCAGACTGGCTCTGACGAAACGCTCTTTCTGATGTCCTGCCCTCTCTCCCTGGAAGCAGGCTTCTCCCAGATGACGCTCTCTCTCGGAGGCTGAGCCTTCTTCCACTCAGCACGACAGAATGAGAGAGGAGGGGGGTCTGCACGGCAGCCCAGGACTCACTCCGCTCTACCATCCCAAGGGGATCATCTGTCCAAACATCATGGCAACCTGGTCAGAGACAGCCAGTCTGAAGGCCAACTAAACTCCTCAGCAGAGGCACCAGACAGAATTAAATCCAGTCGGAAATCAGACCTATGGACTGAACTACCGTTGTTTCCAACAACCCAGGGACTGTCCACTCGAATTCCTACAGGAGCCACGCAGACAATAAAATGGGTGGCGCGGGCCTGAGTTGGGCGATAGGGAGAAGCGGGGACTGTGGCAGCTGCAGGGCACTCCCCACATGAAGGAGGCAGCTGCTGCTCAGCTCTGACTGTAGCCTGACAGGGATGTGCATCTTCTTTGAAGGAAAACAGAGAAATTTACATTTTTATGTGATATCTTCCAGCTCTTAAATGTTGGCCAAAAAAATACCTTTTTGGTACCCAATGGAAAACACAACGGAAGGCCAGACTCGGGCTGCAGGCGAGCCGGGCCCCACCTGTACAATAACCAAACCGGCCTGTGTGGACTCAAACAGCGGTCTCTGCTTCTACTGTGGTCCTTCTGGGACACAAGCCACACAGCAGAGTCCTAGTCCCGAAGTGCCCCTCACGAGCGGATGCTGTGGACTTACATTTCAAAATCCGACAAACTCTGATCTTCAGATGTTTGACTCAAGTCTCCAGGCACCTGCCATCGGGAGCGGGGGCAAGGAGAGAGAAAACGCATCATGGTTACCACGGTTTGCATAATCCCGAGAGAATCCTGCCTCTCTCAAGGATCCCTGAACACTTCTTGCTCAGAATGAGGTGAAAAAGCAGTTACTGGAAAACGATAAGAGATTTCGTGGAAGGGTGGCTAGAGAGGGTGTTACAGGAATAAAAACACGCCACCATGAGAGCTCAATTATCTTTCCGGAAAAAGGACCGTTGATCCTACCGAGGTCATCGCAGGCGTGTAAAAGCTTGTCATGTTGGAGCTACAAAGGCCTAGTTAGGGTCTGAGATGCAAGACATCAAACATGCAGTGGAAAAATATCCATTGTCGCCAAGATAAACATCACACGCCCAGACGCACCCAGCGTGTAAACACGAAAGGCTGGTGCCTGCCCCGCGGGCTCCACCCTCCCACCCCACCCCGCAACGTTTGTGCAATTTAAGGCAGCATGACACAGTTCCTCTTTGACTCACAAGAGCCCCTTGAGAACATGACGGGTGAAAGAAACTCAACTGCCTGGCGTGGTGGCAGTTGTTACATAAAACAGACAGCGAAATGGCCGGCACTAGTTGATGCTCAATAAACGGTGAGGATATTATCACGCCCAGGGAGTCAGTTTCCTGTTGTGAGCTGATGGAATCTGAACCAGCTAGAATTGCAGAATGTGGATCAAAACTAAGAGGAACCAGGTGGAAGAGAGGGTGCGGAGTAGCGTGGGGAAGAGAGCATTTATTTCTGAGGTTTCGTGTTATCCACGATCTTCATCAGCCTGGAGAACAATCCCAGGGGTGGGTGCTATCCACCCCCTACCCACTTCACAGATGAGGAGGGTGAGGCTCAGGGAGGCTGTAAACGATGCCCGTGGTCACACATGTAGGCAGTGACACGAATCCCGATCTGTCCGCCCTCAAAGGCTTTTCTGCTACAAATTCTCCCAGAGGAAAGCCAGCTAAATGGTGTAAGGAGGTGAGACACGAAGAAGTTCTGCCCTCACAGAGGGTTAGGGGGCCCTAGGAGGTACGCCTTAAAGAAACAGTGGGTTCTCTTTGGAGGCAGGAGAATCCAGCGACTTAGGAGCCTGTGCTCTGGGGCCAAATGGCCCAGGATCGGAGCTCAGCTCCACTTCTCCCTGACTTCTCTGTGTCACGCTGACCTAATCTGTAAAGTGGGCACAAGCGGAAGTAATAGTCACGGGGTTATTCTGAGGACAAAATGAGTTAATACCTATAGAGTATGCAAAACAGTGCCCGGCAGGTAGAAAGTTCTCAGTAACTGACTCATGCACTATAATAATATGGCAATTACTGAAAAATAAGAGCAGTATGTTCTGTTATCCTTGACACCAGACGTCAATCTGTCCTGCTAACCCAGCGGGTATCTCTCACCTCGGATATGGCAGCCCAGAGGGAGAGGCACCCAACCTGAGTGGGTTACAGACGTGCGGAGCTAAGCAATTAAACTGGGCTCCAGGCAGCAGACTTTGGTAAGAAGCTGCTGTTGGGATAGTCCTTCCAACCCAAGGAGAAACTGGCCTCATTCCTAAAAACATCCACATCCTCTGACCCAGAAAGCTCACTTTCCAGAATTTATCTACAAGAAACAACCAAAGACATCAACATTACATGGAAGATCAATCCTCTTTCCATTGCTCAGACAAGTAAAAAAAAAAAAAAAAGAAAAAAGAAAAATACAAACAACCTAAAGGTCCAATTACAGAGGAATAATTCAAAAAATTATGGCGTGTCCACATGAGATGGCCGAGTTAAACAATGGGGCACACACACTCATGAGGGTGCAAACATAAAAACAATTCTGGAAAAGTACGTAAGAAAATAGTAAAAGTGGCTATCGCTGAAAATAGATTAAGAGGGGACCGAGGAGAAAAGGCGGCTTATTTTTCATTTGTTATCTTTCTGTAAGATTAAAAAGAAAAAGGCATCTTTTGAATGAACTGCTTTAAAAAAAATTTAAACATGCTTTTGAAGAACGAGCTAGCATGTGCTGTTTCGAAAAGATCTCTGAGACAGATGGATCATCAAGAGAACGCAAAAGCAGGGTGCAGTCAGTGGGTCCGACACGCTGCAAAGACAGAGCATTAAGAATTCCGAGCTGTATTTGTTTGTTTCTGCATCAAGAGTCAAGAGCGGTGAAACTCAAGACACCAATCGAAGGAGCAGCCTGTGGGCGCCGGGGCCGGGTAGCTGGTGCATGGCGCTGGCAGTGAGGCTATACAATGAACACCTTTTTAAATCACTGGAGTTTAAAATAATGTACTACCATCCAAAAGTTTAAGTAAAAATGTATAATCCCACCAAAAGGGTGCTTTTGATAAAATTTCGATGGCATAGAAAAAAACCTCCTGGTCTGTTTTATAAAAAGCAGCTAGGGACTGCACATGCCCAGTGTGCTTCCTAAAGAGAACTTACGAGGCCCGCGTATCTGCAAGCTTAGAATGAAATCGATCTGAGAGATGAGAGTGGGAATGAGTTCCCAGACAGAAGTCAGATGAGCCGGGGTTGTATGCGTGAACTTTTCTGGACTTTCTACAGTGAAGATGCATTCATCATGTAACCACACACAGGTACGCATTGTGTATTGTGTATTGTATTACTATGTAAAGTAAATAATATATTTTTCAAACCCCTCCCCCACTGCATTTTGCCAGAATGCAGAAAGCGGATGGGAGAGGTTTGCTTTCAAACGCTTTCATGCATCAGGCATGGAGGAGGGTGAAGGAGGGCTCTGGGGGTTCATCACCTCCGAGACATCACTCTCCCCCGGCGCTTTCTCGTGGAACCCTGTGAAAAAGGCCAGGGTTCTAGCGCCTTCTCTGGCAGGGTTGCAGGACGGCTCCCGGCCTTTCCTCTCCTCTGAGCTTCCCCCTCAGCAGCTGCATCTCTCCTGGAATAATGTGAGAATCGGGTAAGCAGATCGGAGGAGGGACACGGACCCTGAGGACACCAGCTGCAGCATTATGCCCGTCATCACACTGCCTTGGCACGTGGCCTCATTTCAGACTGAAGGGAACAGAGCTCGTACCCAGAGACCCTCATTCTCAAGAAGGAAGCTTCTGTGGCTGCCCCACCAAGCAGAAGCAGAGGGTGACCAGAAGGACCAAAGCGGATCATAAGGTAGGGTTTTTAAGGATGGACACTGCTTTACCACGATTAAGAACAAGGAGCGTCTTCAGAAATGATTGCCTCTTAGAAGGAGGCATTTTCCTGACAGATCCATTTTTCCTCAAGATGCTGATATTTAGGGAACCTTTTGGACAGTGGATAGAAATAGCTGGGGTTACTAAATCCTTCCAACTTAAGAGATTTTTTTTCTAATTACGTGGTATTACTGGGATCAGCTAGCCAGGAGACATTTATGTGTCATGAGTTCCGGGGAGCCTGTCTGGCAAAAGAATCTGTGAACTTTCTGACCTCTGAAGAATGTATCTTGAAAATCAAGCCAGGCTCCACTGCAAATGCATGATGATAACTGATGGCCGGACTTATTAAACATCTGAAAATTTTGTCTTTTTATGCTGTCATGCAGAATGGTACTACATAGCATCTGGGTTTTACAGAAATCATCCAGAAAGCTGGTTTTACTTCATAATCTGGTGGTAAAAGAAGTGTGGAGCAGAGAGTACTTTATAAGAAAAATCAACTTTCTTTTGATACTGGCCACAAACATCCCTCGTGACCTCCTGAAGCCCCAGGGAATGTGGAGGATGCAGCTCTGGGACGCCGCCTGCTCTCTGATTTACCCTCCTCGTGGGGCATAAACGAGTGATGGGCAGCCTGGTCATCTTCATTCACTTCTCCCTGACACCGCGGCTCACACCTGGCCTGTGGTCTGGGAGGCCAGGTGGCAGGACATGCATGCAGGGAAAGGCGGATAAGGAAGTGAATGTGTTTTTTAAGCCACTGGGTTTTGGGGTGGTTTGACATATAGCAACAGACAGCCCGAAAGGCAACTTCCCTGAGGTCATTCAGCTAGTAAGTGACCAAGGTAGGATTAAATGCAGGTGGTCCGGGTCACCACTCGGCTACACTGCTTCCCACTGCTGAGTCCCCATTCTTTGCATTTTGCACCTGCACACCGCGGAGCCCAGGGGATAAGGTGACCCAGACATGCAGTGAAGAACCTCAACCGGTGTAGAGACCTCCGATGGGGGAAGAAAGTCTGGGAGGACTCGAGAGCAGGTGTGCGCAGGTCCCACATCTGGGTCTGAAATCCTAAGCCCTTCTTAATGCCTGTTTTCTGTGTCACCGCAGGGTGTTTGGTGGGCACCAGGCCTGGAAGCCAAGCCACAGACGTGGCCCAGTCCAAGATGGCTGGTTTCCTCCCCTGGGAGCCACAGGTCCTTTTCCATCTCTGGATACACAAGTCAAATGTGTATCCAGACTCTTGAGTCAAATCCACAAGGTCTCAGGGACAAATGGAAACTCGGATATTCTGAGCTCCGATCTCAGGCTTCCACTGCTCCTTAGAGAAGTCACTTGCCAAGCCACAGACGTGGCCCAGTCCAAGATGGCTGGCCTCCTCCCCTGGGAGCCACAGGTCCTTTTCCATCTCTGGATACACAAGTCAAATGTGTATCCAGACTCTTGAGTCAAATCCACAAGGTCTCAGGGACAAATGGAAACTCGGATATTCTGAGCTCCGATCTCAGGCTTCCACTGCTCCGTAGAGAAGTCTCTACGGAGGCTTCAGCTGACCTTGGTTTCTTCCTCGCCTGCCCCATGACAACCAGTCTCTACCTGTCCTATTGGAAAGAACCAACAAAGGTGGGGGCTGGGGAGGTGAGGTCAACTGTGTGCTGAACACCTACTACGTGCTGATGTATTCTCTCATTTAATCGTCAAATGCTGGGAAGCAAGCCACGTTCCCTTCCCCTCCTGCCCGAACCTCTTTGCATGGCTGGCTCTTTTCTCTTCCTCTAAGACCCAGCTAAAAGATGCCTTCCTTGATGACAAAGA